CATTAATTCTAGGAATTCACCGATTACTACAAAGTTGTTGGGAATAAGTAATTTTTTATAATTTTTTCATAAAAATATAAGCTGGATATAATAGGATTTTCCTGCAATTAAACAATTACTGATCAATATAAATGGGAATATGCGTTCGTTTGTATATCAAACTGTTTATAACTTTGGTCAAAGGCCAAACAAATTTCATTACGTATTATACATATAGATACGTTTCAAGATTAGCAAATGTGTTTATACCAGTAGTTGTACAAGGTTCAAGAGTACGATAACAAATTAAGAGAAAGTTGATATTTACCAACTTCTGGCTTTCAGTCTGTCCAAAGGGAAACTATATATAGTAAAATTATAAAACTAGCAGCAACTGCTTTGGAGATCATCAGCATATCAAACTGTTTCGCATGATAGAGGGACGATGTCTTTTATGACTCTACTGAAATTATTAACAGTTTTTAAGAATTATGAAAAATTAGGTTATTAACAAGGTTACATATTGTCTTATTTTTTTTATTTATTATTATTATTATTTAAATTGAAATATGGCAAATGCAACATAGCGAAGTATGTTTTTTGCATGTGCTGTTCTATAAGCTGTAACAGTTTAGTATATGATTTATGTATGGTTTTCACATAGAGAAGTTATAAGTTTGTTTTTCTCAGTTTCTCGTGGCATTTTTGCATTCTTGGAAATATTTCACAATATGCCATACAACGATTTAGGGCTGCTCACAAGTATCGCATATTTTAAGACTATTGAAATATGACCTAAGATATAAGACAGAGCTTGTGAATTGCCTAAACATCTGCAGTAGAATGAATGTACGTTGTAAATTATTTACTATTATATACATACAGACATACTTTGTGCCTTATATAAAACATCTCCTTTCCGCTTGTTTGTCTTTTGAATTTCGCGGCTATTTACAAAGCGCGACAGAGCTCTGGCATATACATAATTTGAAAGGTCTTGACATAACCTACAAAACAACGCTATGCATGATAAGTTTGGATATTGCGTTCAACAGTTATAGACGTGTAAACATGGAGTTCACTAACGCCGAAATTCGCGCTATTTTTAAGTTTTCCTTCGTTAAAGGCAAATCCGCTAGAGAAACGTTCCGTGAGATTAATGGTGTTTTGGGGGATGGTACTCTATCACTTCGAACCGCGGAGGAATGGTTTCGACGATTCAGAGCCGGTGAAAACGACACCATGGATAAGCCAGCCGGCGGAAGACCTGTGACGACAAATACCGATCAAATCATGGAATACATCGAGTTAGACCAGCATATGGCATTTCGTGACATCGCCCAGGAGATGGGAGTTAGTCACCAAACTATTTTGAACCATCTGCAGAAGGATGGATACAAAAAAAGTTTGATGTTTGGGTGCCGCATAATTTGACGCAAAAAAACATTCTGGACCGAATCAACGCCTGCGATATGCTGCTGAAACGGAACGAACTCGACTTATTCTTGAAGCGGATGGTGACTGGCGACGAAAAATAGATCACATACGACAATATCAAGCGAAAACGGTCGTGGTCTAGGGCCGGTGAATCGTCCCAAACAGTGGCCAGGCCGGGATTGACGGCCAGGAAGGTTTTGCTGTGTGTTTGGTGGGATTGGAAGGGAATCATCCACTATGAGCTGCTCCCATATGGCCAGACGCTTAATTCTACCATCTACTGTGAACAACTGGACCGCTTGAAGCAGGCGATCGACCAGAAGCGTCCGGAATTGGCCAACAGGAAGGGTGTAGTGTTCCACCAGGACAACGCCAGACCACACACTTCGTTGATGACTCGTCAGAAGCTACGGGAGCTCGGATAGGAGGTTTCATCGCATCCACCATATAGCCCGGATGTAGCGCCAAGTGATTACCACCTGTTCCTGTCTATGGCGAATACCCTTGGTGGTGTGAAGTTGAACTCAAAAGAGGCTTGAGAAAAGTGGCTGTCCGAATTCTTCGCAAATAAGGAGGGGGGCTTCTACGAGGAAGGTATTATGAAGTTGCCGTCTAGATGGAAACAGATCATCGAACAAATAAGGAGGGGGGCTTCTACGAGGAAGGTATTATGAAGTTGCCGTCTAGATGGAAACAGATCATCGAACAAAACGGCGCATATTTTAACTAAATCCGATCACTGTAACACTTTTTCATAAAGCATTGAATGAAGAGCAAAAAAGCGGAAGGGAGATATTTGACAACCTTATATTCATGATATTGTACCATACCGTTTTTATTGTTTTTGGTCTCGCCCTAACTTAGTTCTTTCGTAGATGTTTTAAGGTAATTCTTTCACATTTTATTAGATCTTCAACTTATACTTTTTCACTCGATACTAGCATGTTTTATGAAAATATTTATTAAAATTAGAACGGTTTTGGCCCTATGATCCATTTTTTAACTTAATGCATAAATATTGATAATAACTTACATACATTCTACATATACATATTTCATCTAAATGCTCTGTTGGGAAATTTTTTAATAGTTCATTGAAAATGCAGTTAAATGTTTTAAATAAAATAAATTAGAATCAATATATTTTTCGTGTAATAAATTTTAATTTATTAATGCGAGCTGAGAGAAAAACCGTACAGTTTTCTTTAGGAATATTTGAAAATATTGTTAAATAAAATAATTTTATTTGGTATACAGATGCTAATTTTTCAGTTTGAATTAGGAATACCTTATTAAATTAGCGCACTTAATAATGAATTGAATAATACAACAACAGCTTACATGGCTGATGTTGACGCAGTGGTAGAGCACTCGCCTGTTAAGTCAGAATCCGTTGGTTCGATCTCTGCTGTAAGAAGCCTGCTGAGGAGATATGGCGATCTCCGAAACAGCTGTCACTTCTACCATTTTTCTTTGTTCTATAATAAAATTATTCAATTCATACAAACAAATCAGGCCTTTCGTTCACTGAAAACTTATATATATAAAAAAAATATCACGTTCGATCGAGATGCGAATATGAGTTGGGCAAGGAAAGCAATGTTAGTCTAAATAAAGCGAAAGAGAGATTGAAATATGACAACGCAATTGACGAATACTCCCCTTACTGATTTTATAATATTCAAGTGATCTATACAATTATGAATATGAATACGCATCACTCAGTTGAACGCCACTGATTCTGATTTTCTTATGCCCATAGTAATGTACACAGCTTACAATTGCTAAGGATGGGGTAATTCTGTTACTTCATATACCCCTCTTGGCAGTGATCTATTTTTCAGGGCTGCGTGATTGAGCTTACAAGTAAAGTGTTTTGGATAGTGACAACCATTATCCAGTATCGGCTGTCAACATAGCTGCTAACACAGTTTATAGTATTCAATTCGTATAAAGTTTTATCGGCTTTACGGGTACCTCACACATTTGGCAAAAGAGTATGAAGTATTTTCTTCAGGATGAACTGGGTTGATATGTAGTTTGGCTGTGTTGCAATAAAAATAATGATTCAAATCTATACGTTCCGGCTGGTTCAAAAGTTAGTAGTTTGTTAGGGCGTATGAGTAACCTCTTATTAAAGAGAAAATAACTAACAGAAATATGTATTATCGAATACTTTTCCAATTGGTCCAATTTTTACTCTGTCTGTCTGTATTATATCATATTATTTCTTTTGCACACTCTTTTGTCAAACATTCTACAATACTCCGCCATATTGTCTTTTTGGAACTTATAGAAAGATAAACTATCGCCATATTGCTTTCAGAGAGAGAGAGAGAAAGAGAGGGAGAGAGAGATAGAGAGAGATCAATATCAGGCGTTGGAAAACTAATAGGAAAATGATAACGGAAGTCATATCTACATTTAAACATATGTAAGCATATGTAAGCATATGTGAACTATGTGTATTTGTTATTAACTTGGCAACAGCTCCAATTTTTGCAAAATAAAAAATCGTCATTAGATAACTAAATAATTTTAACAAATGATACATATATACATCTAATAGACGTTAATATTAACTTAGAAGGTACAAATAAAACACTTCAATTTAATACGTTTTATTTGAGTTAGTCAGTTGAAGGAATCAGCTGATCATTAAGTGTCAATTTCGTCATAAACAGAGAATAGAGAGTTTACGTCGTACAATTGATATAAATATTATATATAGATAATGCGCATGTATGGTAGTATGTGATAAACGATAAGAATACTCATATCTAGTATGTATATTAAACAATATTACTCATTAATTTCTATAACTTGTTTTTATTTTAAATCGACAAGTCTCGCACTAATGATGCAGTTATTCATTAAGGTAATGATTAGACCTATATTAATATGCTCCATTTTTCTGACAGTTCCGAATAATGTCCAGAGTATCCAACAGCAAATACGTGCTTAAGTTTTGCGAAGTGGATCCCATCATCGTAGAAGATGGGTGCGCTTTGTTTACCTCTCTTATCTCAACGTTGTTGTACGTGTTTTCCGTTTAAAGCGGAATTACCTGTTGGCTCAACCCGGTGCCGACACTGATACGACACTCCCCATCAAGTCAAGCCACAAGTGCTGCGTCACATTGCCGTTTATATGCGTCGCACAAAAGCAACAGTACTGTATCTATTTATATACACACTACCCTATGATAATAATTTGCAATTGTGGCTTGAATATGTAGTACAAATATATGCGAACATGTATTTATGCATGTATGTATGGCTTTGTAATAATAAGCTTATTTTTTGCTATTTATATACATACGTATGCACAAACATATGTACATATATAATAATATGTTACATTAAATTTTACTTGTAGTTCTTTTTTCTCGTTTATTCAGGATTCAGCAATAGATAACATATATGACATACATACATTTTAATTTCTTTGTTTTACTTTAAATTTCACATCGCCACTCATATCATTATGCATACATTTATTATTGCCGTTTATCATTTTAATTCCTTATCAATTATTTTACCTGAGTTTTTAATATTGATTTTCGATATACGTTTTCATTTCAGTTTTAACTGTTCTAGTACAAGGAACGTACGGTCAATCGTTTTTACTCAGTTTGGGACAAAATCAGCGGAACTATTTTCCCGAAGACAATACGCCTGAGACATTTGTGAATACACCGCTTAACGGACATATAAATTACACGGATACAGTGACGAACATACATTTGGATACGCGTGAGGAGTTTGATGATAATAATACAACGATAATTGTTATTAAAAGCAGTGAGTATTTTTTTTATTAAAAATTTGATGTGAAAAATTTTAATGAGCAACAAAGTGTGTAAAAGTGTCATCCAATTTGTTTAATGAAAAGTGGTTTGTTCGTATCAAAGTGTAGTAATAATATGCACACAATTAAAAAAAATAATTATTTACCTTAGTTTTGGTAATTAAATCGTAATTTTTCACCAAGCAAAATTTTTGTGAATTTTTAAATTTTTAGCATTATTTTAAATATTTAAAAACAGGGGAAAACATTTCAAACGCGTAAGAAATTTCAACAAATGCGCAAACGTATACGTGCATATGTACATATGTATGTATGCATGTATATAATAATCCTTTTTTTTATAAATTACTTTTCGGCATCTTTCAAGGATCTGAGAAATTAATGCGATTTGAAATTTTAGAAATCAAAATAATGAAATATTGCTGTGTTAATCTATACATATATATATATGTGTACTCATATAATACATAAATATATAAAATAAGCTCCTAATGGCTTTCTTCAAGCATATTCCATGAATATCGCTAAGTATAAACTATTGTATATATGTACGCATGTATTTATGCACATACATATATTGTGAAAGTATTAGCAATAATTTTTAATCAATATTTAAAAAGTTTTCAATTTTACCCGATTATTGAAATTGTCTATAAATAGACCAGTTTTAAGTGTTTTATTCACTTTTAATCTATTTGCAATATCATCGATTAACCTATCAATGAAAGTAATTAAGAAAACAATAATGCTAAATAAAGGTGTGACGATATGATATATGTATGTATGGCGAAATTTAGATCGCTCATGACACCAAACAGCTTGTAAGCCATTTAAATTGTATTAAAATTACATACATACATATGAACGAGTGCTTGTAAACTTGACTAGAACTGTGAGTATAAGACTTTCGAATGTGAGTAATAAGTTGAAACCATTCAGTCTACTATTGGAGCGATGCCGATACTCGTATGAATCGTTTCGTGTTTTTGTTCAGAGTCCACATAAATATTATAAATGTTAATGCTGACTCAAGCTAAATTTGATAAAAGAATTTTCTGTGAATGAAAAAAAAACGAATAAATTAAATTGTTGGTCTTTTTGCATTACATAAAAATATGATTTTAAATAATTAATTGGCCTACGCATGTAAATATTAATTTCCGTTCATGTTATATGTAGTTTTTTAAACTTTTATTTACTTTATACATTGTATTCTAGATAATTAAGCCTCTACAAAAATAATTACGTGTTGAAATATATAAAGCAAGACTGTAAAACTGCAAACAGTTTTTAACTAATGCCATACTTCGGCACTGTTTTTTACTCTGGAAAAAATTCGATTTCCCATTCGCTGCTATTGTGAAACGATCAAAAGTGAGCAAACGAAATTTAAATATATTTGAGTTATTCGATAGTTACTGTGAAGGCTCATCTCAAAGATGTACTTAGTTAAGGTCAATCTATCGGCATTTTTAATTGATTATTAAGAAAAAAAGTTTTTTTTTTCGAAAATAAATTATACCTTTCTTGTATTTAAAAAAAAATATTGAAATTATATTTCTATCTCCAGTTGTCTTCATATACTGATAAAAAATATGTATCGAGTAATATAAAAATATTAGTTATTAATTGGATCTATTACATACCAATAATTGCAATTTTCCCTAACCTTTTCGTCTCCATGATGCTCTCAAACATATTTGTAAGTGCTAGATATGCCAACTCTGTGGTGATTCGTGGAGAAGAAATTTGAAATGCTAAGCTTAGCATTTGTCTGAAAGGAAGCTTAATAATCCAGCTTTTAGAACCACGTAAATATTGTAACGCGTTAGGTTTTTATCAGCATTTTATTGCACCCTAGAAAAACTCTGAAAATCGCCCGCCCCCTTTCGCATACTGACTTCTTTTCCGCTCGGCACTAATGGGGTTAAATGGCAACACTACTCACAATAACATGGCAACATAAACAAACTGCCTTATTTCCTTGGAAGGAAATCTCATCAAATGCTAATTGTAATTTTGACATCAACCGATCAATTCTAGAATTTCGTTAGGCAGAATTTTGTGTTTGCGTTTGTTTTATTAACAGAGTCTTAAAACAAATCCAGTATTAGTTTAAACTGATCTTAGTACTCAGATTAACATTGTTTGAAATTTAGGTTCGCATATTTTAGAAACATATTTAATAGGACAGTCTGAATAATTAATTTTACTCCGGGATTACAGTGAATTTGTTCAAATTATTTCTAAACTTCACATTTTGAAGAGCAAATCGCTTTTTCTTTAGCACAAAATTTTCTTTTGCGTTCTTAACTTTGAGCTAAAAATTACAACAAGTGCAATGAACCCCTTGGGCTCCACATTATCTCATAAAAAACTTGGTAAAAAAAAAAAAATGTTGTTAAGTGGTTGGATTTCGCCTCGCTAATCAGTTATTGGCACGAGACTTCCACGATTGTGTTGAAAGCACACGATTATAATTAGAAAATTTCGTACTCACAATTTTAGCCACTTGACTTATCTTATAGTACGCTCACCCTTGCTTACAAGCCTATTAAAGTCAATTGCTTTGCTAAAAATTGTTCTTACAAATACATACAGCTGTTTAATATTTGTACAAAAATTATAATAATTGAATATGTATGTAAAATTATATTTCTAAATCGTTCCACTAAGATAAGAAGTCAAGAGGTCGCCAATGTGTCTATAAATATTTTAGACTGTTTTGCATTGCGTTGGCGGAAAGTTGTTGTGAAATTCCGTTAATGAGAATGAAGTTAGGCTGAGCTGAGTTTGGGTGTACCGCATATGTTAGATAACTGTATTTTCTAGTTATTTAGAAAATTTATTGAGAATACACTTTGGAAATTTTCTTATAATTTGCTTGACTGACATAACCTTAAAATATATTTTAAGACCAGAAAACTGCCCACGCTGAGTATTTTTCAGCATTTTTTTTGTTAAGTTGGTAGCACTGTTCCTCATTACTATGCCAATGATGATCGCGATCTATCAAACAAGTTTGTTTGCAGCAGCTGTTGAAATCAGCCGACTTCAGTTCTCCCTGCGAACTTTGTGTTACGACCTCAATCAAGTCGTAACGGGTTCCACGGAGTGGTAGCATGAGTTTTGGAAACAAAAAAAAAAGTCGCATGGGACCAAATCCAGTGATCGATGGTATTGTACGAGTTTGCGGTTTTAATCGTTCACAACTACAGCTCGGTGCGATGGCGCATTATCGTCATGAAAGTTTGCGGCAATTGTTGACCTACAACTGCAGCCATTTAAGACGGCGTACACGCCTCTAAACGCTCAAATAATACTCTCGTCATTGGCCGTCTGTCTCGTTGAAACGAATTCATGATGAGCTAAGGCGCGCATATCGAAATAAAAACAATTTCCGGGGGCTTTTTGTGCCTAATGTACAAAGCAGAGTTATGACGAAGTTGTGAGTAGAAAGATCGAATTGCGGCAATGTAGGCGGGGTTATTTTTTTCTGAAACGTGTATACAGGAACATATTTGCATATATGTATATGTGTGTCTTTATATATTTTATGTTCATTAAAAAAAAAACGTAATTTAAATGACGTAAAATCCCTCTGCACACAGCACAGTCCAGTATAATAATTAAAGATTGAAATCTGCTTGGTTTGTTAATGAGAATGTGGGCTTTACACACTAACACACTTACATACATATGTATTTATATGTGCATATGTATGTGATACAAGTATTTTGTATTTCACAATTTCTGCTTTGAATTTGAACATAAAATTTTTCAGAGAAATCACGAGACCCACATTCATATATGTATGTATTAAAATTAGTGACAATATAAATAATAGCAGCTGACCTTTTATTTATAATTAACTAGCATTAACTATTTCACTACACATAAATGACTTTCAACTATTTTTTTATGTTTCGACCTGGTGATTTACATGAATTACTCTTTTTTCCACTCTTTCAGCTGTCAGAGAACAATCCAACGAATTATCACAAACTGCCATGGATATCATAACGATCGTTTGGTATGTGGCCACATTTCTAGCATTGGCCGCCTTCTTTCTACTCATGGCCTGCTCAGACAGACGCTGCACAGATAATCGCGCTAATATTTTGGCCAATGAGGCGCCCATAGCACCGCCCACACCATCACCTTCCTACAGTGAATTCGCACCGCCCAGTTATGAAACAGTGATCAAAATGCAACATGCTGCCAAAACGAGCATTTTCGTGATACCCTTTCCACCTTTGGATGTGCCAAGAAATAAGGACGTTAGCAGTAATACCAATGGCAGTAGTCTACACACACCGCCGACACCCACGACGCCGGCGATTAACTTTTATACAGTGAACGAATTAGAGAAATTTAGTTGCTAGTTGGGTAGATTGACGTATTTGTGGTATACTGTACACTGGCTGTATGTACTTGTATGTATGTATGCATGTAGATTTCATTGATTTACGCCGGCTCGTGGCGTTATAAATAGGCATTGGAACTGAGCGCAAAACTTATGAGGGGTTTGCAAACTGATAAAAAGTTAGGCTAAATCATTATTAAAGTCAATTTCAAAGAATCTATGTCTGCGTTTGATAACAGTTACCTATATATATACATACATATGTACATACATAGGTGTACGACAAAACTGGGTATATATACGAGTAGATATCTTGTTTTCGGTTGGAAAACAAATGTAATTTTCTCAAATGATCTGTGATATTAGTTGAAGCTTCATATGTATGTGTGTTTTTGCATTTGTATGTACAAATATATGTATATATATCTATATATTTAAGTATGCTTTGCTATTTTAATTTGCAATGCAAGTCAGTAAATTTAGCGAAACATAAGAAAATATTGTATATACATATATATAATTACAAGGCATATTTATAAAATCGCACACACACAAACATATATACACGTGTGTAATCGTAATACACCCCGGTAATCGTTAACGAATGTCATGCGACCCGCGCATATTTACTTATGTAGGTATTTTGTTTGTAAACAATAATTAAAAGCGCAAATACATTCATATATATTTACATAAGATGTGTCAGGTGTTTAATCCTTGCATTAATTATATTTGTATAGCCATATTCAGAAATTTTTTTCTATGTTATACTACTTAAAGTGTAATGTCTATGCGAGTGTATAATTATCAATATATATATATATATATACAATAGTTGTTTACATGTGTAAGTTAAAGACTGAATTAATTGCGAAAATATGCAAAACTCATATTTTCTATTGTAATTAGTCGGCGCTTTAAGTTTCGCTATTAGTTATATAAGTGTTTATTTGAAAAACAATTGTTAGTATAAATAATGAATCATAAAATTTTATATTTAACACAATTAAGCTCAAAACGTTCGAAAAAAGTATTATAAAATAAAATCGTTAAAAAGCAACAATAAAATGAATTTAATAATAATAAGAATAATGAATAAAAACAAAATTGTCTGGCTTTATTTACCTTCCCATGCAACGGAATAAGACTTATTTCATAACTTTTTGCAAGACCACACCTCATTGGTATACAGTCGAGTTAGGTTATAATGAACAATTAATGCAACGTTACGTCGAAACTGAAATTTAATGAAAAAAAAAGCTGTCAGCGAAACGTTTAACAAACTTAAATTTATACTTCTACCTACTAAACTAAGTGAAAACCCTTAAGGCATCAGACATGTGCTGCAAGTCTCTTTCGCATGAAATTGTCATCGAAAACGTGCTTCCATGTGCTGAATCCGACCAAAATCTTCCACCGATGACGTCACAATAGCTCTGGTGAAGCCCAAAATTGGGCTTGAATGCCATAAACGCATCACCAATATTAAGTAATCCCCTGGGATACACGAAGAAATCTGCTCGATGGGTAACACGAATTTTAAATGAGGCCCAAAGAGCGGTTCAAGTGCATTTTGCCCAAGTTTTCCTAAACAAATTCGAAAATGGTAAGTCTAACAACTCAAGTAAACTTTTTACTAATGACGAAGCTTCGTTCCATAAGTACGATCGAGAAACCAAACAGCAGTCCATGGAGCAAACCCATTCCTAAAAACTAAGCAACAAAAATCAGCAGCAAAAGTAATGATGTTGGCTTACTTCAGCCGATCTAAAATCGTGTCTGCTTCTCCATTGGAAAATAGTCAGACGATAACTGAAAAATGGTACATTGAACAGTGCTTACCAAAAGTTTTCAAAAATTTATTAGAAAACAGGGAGAAAGAGGATTGGATGATGAAAAATACTAAACTGAAATAAAAAAAAATATAGGTACTTGCGTGACTGAAATACTTGTGATATTAAGGAAGGTCAATCCAAATGTATATCCAAGCTTTACCACAATTAAGGTTCTTCGGTGAATGAAGTAAGAAAGTCGGTTGCAACAGATCTAAACATTAAATCGGTCTTCAGAACAACCCCGAATATGAGTGTTAGTAGTGCTTATCACCATGTGGAAGATCAGGGGTTTGATTCCCGACAGCCCCTCGCCACCAAATGTGAACCCTCCGGGTGTATTTTTGTCATGAGATGAAAAGTTCCACATTAAAATCCGACAGCCGTTCGAAAGCTTAGAATAAAATATAGGTCCCTCCAATTGTTGGAAGAACTACAGAATACACACCAGAATTTAAAGAGAAGCTCGGTCGAAAGTCACTTCAGCGGTTATAAGATAAATACAGTTTAGTTTATTAAGCCGCCTGCGAACGGCTGATGGCTTTATAAGAGGATATTTCAGAAAAATTTATAATTTTTTTATTGAAATGAAATTTCTTTAACCTGTTGGTTGTACGAGGACGTGAACTCTATCCTTCCACATCGCTGTGTGCAATGGCTACCACTCGGCTACCGCTGCTGCAGTTGAGAGGGTTGCTAACATGGAGAACATGTCTTCAGAAAGTCTTTTGAGTAATGGTCTCTTTATTACTATATAGCAGTGAATAGAGTTAGTTTTGCCATTAAAGACATAATTTTCAATTTTCTTATGGAATATAAAATATCGTCATCAGTTCATATTATTCAACTCACTTAATTTCTCACGAATGAAAAATGATTTATGAAGCATTCAGCAGCTACAATTCTAGAAAAGTTCGCCCACGAAATGAACGTTCTTCACATGATATTAAAACCAAAGAAAGAAGAAAAAAAAAATGGAAGTGTGGGAGACGTTAATGGAATTTCTAATTATGATAATGTTTCTGAGCATACAGCAGGAACCAAAAAGGACCAAATTAAAATTAATAAGAAAATTGTAAACAATTCGGGCGCGAAAAGATCCTTAGAAAATGCATTTCAGCTACATATGTAGGCATATCCCATTTTCACAAGTTCCTCCTTAACCATGATTGTTCAACTTCTTTAAATAATCAGTTAGTTCTTGGATTAATTGGAGGGATCTTGTAAAAATCATCGGGCCAATTTCTCCTTTTTTCAATTGTTTCGGTATATTAAATAAAAGCTGCAACCGTTAAAACGAATTGAAGTTCTTATTTGGATAAAATCGAGTGAATTTCATTACATCTGAAATTAATACGTGCCATTTTTAAAATTATAAAAAAAAAATTTTTTTTTGTACTTCGCTTAATTAAATAACTTAATAAATTAAATATTTTAATCTTAGTAAGCCATTTGCCTAAATTATAAACATAAAATATTTGTACAGCTTTCAAAAGTCTTGGAGCAGTAAAAACTTAAAACAATGAAAACTTCTTCAACATAAGCCCCTTAAGATTAACAGTACATACATATAACTTGTTAACTACTTTAAAATAAATAATATTTAACCAAAAGCAAGCTGCTACTGTGTATAATTATAAAATTATAAATTTCGGATACTTACATAGACATTGACTGACAGGTTCATAAAAGCTAAATTAGAAGTAAAAGGTATTGTTTAGAGTTCATTTTGGATTAGGCTCTCTCATGACAGATGTAAATATTTGTTTATGTAATAAGAACTGATTTTATTTTAAATCAAAAGTCCATAAGTTCCCGCTTCACCGAACATAAAACATCCGACTATTTCGGAAAGTAGGGGCGATAACGAGCAGGAGATATTTTACGTTAGAATAATTTTATATTTAATATAGATATTAAGTGTACCCATGGAAGGGTTCATATTTAAGAAGTGGAAAACTTCACGCATTTTATTTTCAAAAATGGGTGAAATCAAGTTACTTACGTAGAATTAGTACCAAAATGAACTATAACGGTTTTCCGTGTTGGTTATGAAATGATGTTTATTGCTCAAGAGCTCATCTATCTCCGTTTCTACTTCTATCTTAAGCAAATAATGACATCAGTTTAAGGGGATCTACCAGTGTGACAGCAAAACGAGTTGATTTTTAGAAATTTTTTTTAGAGAAAGCTTCTCCATTGAATATTTTAAAGTATTAATGGTATATTTGTCTATAAACAAGGCAGCTTTACATATTATTTTTTCAAAAAAATGTTTGGCATTCTCGACGAGATATGCGCTATCACGCGTAGGTATGCACTAATAGTCTTCAGGGTACCTGAAAGAAAGAAATAGACAAAATAGCATTAAAGAAGGTTGTATGAACTGAAAAGTAGCCCGCGATTGACGTAATAAGATTGAATTCAAAAAATGTCACCATCTTAAAAAAAATACTTAAAGCTTAGATTAAATTTCTGACGGTATTTTCCATGCCAAATTTACAATTTTAATTCGTTCGAAAAATCCGTGCACCACTTTGTGCCTTAAATAATTCTGAATACGTTAAAAATGTTTCAAAAGCACTGTTTCGAGAAATACGCATTGAAAAAAAAACCTACATGACTGATCCCACGCGTTTTAGGATTACTCCGAAACTCTTACAGCTACGCATCTGGGGTCGTAGTATTTTTTTCGAATGTATAAACTATCAAAGAATGTCAGAAAAAAAAAATCTTTCACACTTGTCGAGCCTCTAAATTATTTCAAAAACCCTAAGTGGAGCAACATCTTTCCCAATAAACAAGAATTTTTTCTCCATAATTTTAATGTATAGCATGGAGTAGGAAATTTTTAATAGTCAGATTAATTAAAGATTTTTTAACTTTTTCCCATAGCTTTCTACAGCTTTGCTGATCTACATTTTGCTGTGGGGGTTTTTCGTCCACCTGGGGGAATTCTACAGCATTTTTTATTCACTTGGTGTTCAAAACTTTGTAGTCAACTCAAAATAGGTTTCGTTTAACATCATTCAAACATTGAACGTTGCGAATTTTTAACATAAATACATATCGAACATTTGTTCTTATATAATCAGACAAATGAGTCGATGTTGATTGTGATTAAATTCATTATTAATTTCATTTTATTTACAAGCAATTTATTAATGTGTACAAATACATAGTATTATGGGTTACTTGGGGGAAAAAATAGCGAAACAAAAAAAATCACAACCCGTTGAACTTGAATATGAATGCAGTTCATTTGCGTTTAATTAACAATCAATGGTTGTTGTGCTTGTTTTTGTTGTTGATGTATGCTGTGCTCCAATGCTGCTGTGTTGCACCAAACTTGTATTGTTTCTATGCACATTGAAATTGGAATGCAAAGGTACACGTGTTGTTCATAATACACACCTACAGATATACATACAGATATACATACATCTAAAGGTTACAATAGCAAACGTAATGTAATAATTTTGTAGTCTTCTTCTTCTTCCATCCTCTCTACTGGTGTAGACACTTCTTACGCGATTATAGCCGAGTTAACAACATTGATGAAACAGCTGAAAGAAACATGAATGAAACCGCTGTTTCTTGTTTTGCTGAACCATGCCAATTTCTCCGTATATCCCGTGCAACTCATCGTTCCATCGGCTCCGGATTTAAAGGCTGACATTATTGTTGTTATGAATACTAGTTCCACGATAAAAGAAATGATCTGCAATTAAAAGTTATGACCGTCAACAATGACGTAGGTGCCGAATTGCGAATGCGACGACAGTTTCTTTGATGGCAGGAGATATTTCGTCTTGCCCTCATTCACTACCAGACCCATTCGCTTGGCCACCTTATCCAGCCTGGAGAAAACAGAGTTCAGGGCGCGGTTGTTGAGGCCCATAATATCAATATCATCGGCGTACGCCAGCCGCTGTACAATTTTACATCATCAACAAGTTAAAAAAAAGTTACACGATAAAGATAACGGCTCAGAGAGGTCTTTCTCGATCCTAAAGGAGCTTTTAGTGCTGCTTGAGGTCAGCTTACATAGCCATATAAGTTTTGCGCGGACACCGAATTCAGACATAGCGGCGTAGAGGCAGCTCCTTTTCGTGCTATCGAAGAAATTCTCTTTTCACGGGTATTTTCCAATATTTGGCGCAAGGTGAATATCTGGTCAATGGTT